TAGATGAAAAGCAAAATGAGAATATACTAATATTGAGGGAACTTTGTTGCATAATGACACATCTTTTAGAGAAGACAGCCACAGTTAACCAAGTCCAAACACCTTCCAGAGTATCAGCGTTCGCTGCTAAGTTATAAAGAAAATAGCAAGAACCACATTTGCTAACGTTTACAGAGCATTTGCCATCCAGCAGCACCATACTCTACTTTCCCACAAAGTCACAATGTTCTTAAGACCACTAGAAGGCAGGTCCCCATGTGCCCGTTGGGGAAACAGAAATTAGAGGTCAGTCAGCCTCCCCAAGGTCACTCCATTTCTTAAGGAAGACTGATGCCAGAACAGGAGTTTTCTTCATCTCTAAGTTAGTGATTCCCTGCAGGTTGGACAGACCAGAGAAACCAAGAAAACTTTCAGAAATCCAAAATGACTGACAGTTTTATTTGTTTTGTTTGGCCAATAAAGGTTTGCCATTTTACAAAAGAAAGAGCATTCTTTAAAAAAATATAAAAACAAAACGAAACATCTCAGCATAAATTCAAGAAACAGCAGGGGCTTGATAGCCAACTGTGTGTGTGTGATAGTGTCTTTTTCATTTCACCACAAACCTGTGAAAACTTCACACACCTCTCTACCAATCAGCCCGTGGGAACCATTGCTGTATCCTGTCCTACCACAATAAACCTAGTATCTCCTCTTGTTCCCATTTCTAATTTGCAGGAAGTGCAATAATAGCTGCCTAAAACAGTACTGAAAGTTTAAGAAGAAATTGGAATTAAATTAAGCCAATGTTGAAGTCTGTCCAGGAAAAAGGCATTAGTAACTGCAAAGCCACAGAATTTAACACTGAGAAAACCAAACAAAAAGACCATGACACTTAAGGATACTATCAGAACTTAACATGTTGTTTTCAAGTCCCAGAGGCCTACAGAGAGGTCCCTGGTCTTAGGAGCTCATTCAACAGCTCCACATTTTATTTCCTAACATGTCTATGCCCATGTGAATTCTGGGTTTATTGTAGATACTCAGCACTTTCGCTCTGCCTCCCACCATTCAGAATTCCTTCCCAAGAGCATACAAAAAGGTCTCAAAAAAGTTGGAGGAACCAAAGTGCAAACGATGCTTCATTAGGACCTTTTCTCAAGTGTATCTTCCTACATCAGAGTCTCACTAGTCACTGTGACCAAAACAGAGTTCACGTACCTAAATCCAGCAATTTCACATTCCTAAAGGCAAGAAGGTCTGGGCTAGGACTAAAATGTGCCTTTCCTCCTCAAGCACATAAAGAGCTGAGCCTAGTCCCAATGAAGAATATATACATTCCTCTCTGGAGAGCATAGTATTATAGACACCTATGTTAAAAGGTACACAATGTTGAGTGCAAAACAAAACCCAAACACCTTACCATGAGTGCACTATGAAAGGGGAAAGTAACATAGATTCGAGCAAATATTTATTATGCCAGGCCACTGCTCTAGACCAGTGAGTTTCAAATGGCAGTGATTTGGCCCACCATGACATAGCTGACACTGTCTGGAGACATTTTTGGTGGTTACAACTGGTAGAGCAGGCAGTTGAAATGGTTTCTAGAGGGATGATGCTAACATTCTGCAAGGCACAGGACAGCCCTCCACAGCAAAGAATGATCTGGCCCAAAATGCCAACAGCACTGAGGTTGAGAGACATTGCTGTAAGCTCTGGAGACACAACAGTGAATGAAGAATAAACAGCAAACCCCACTCCCTTGGAACTTGCATCTAGTATTCAGAAATGCATAGCAAGCCTAACACCGTGGAAAATTATAAGTAGGATATAACATAAACATGTGGAAGAAATACAGTTAGACCAGGAAGACTGAGAGTTTAGAGGGATAGCAATTATAAATCCTGTGGTCAAGGGAGGTCACAGCATTAGTGTGATGGGAATCATGAAAATGGAATTCAAAACACTTGAAGTTGGTGTGAGAGAGAGAGTGCTATGGCTGTCTAGGCAAAAGATGGTTCAGACTGATGCAACAGCAAGAGCAACATACAAAAGCCCTGAAATGGGAGGGCCTGGGGTAGTCCAGGAATACTGCAGAGACCAGACTGGCAAGAGAACAGAGAGCTGGGGCAGGGACATGAGATTAAGTTAAGCATGTAGGCTGCCTTGTACCGTTTGTAAAGACCTCAAGTTTTATTGAAACTAGGAGCCATTGGAAGGTGCTAAGCAGAGAATGACAAGATCTAACTTGAATTTTAACAGAGGGTCTCTCAACTTCAGCACTATTAACAATTTGAAGCTAGATAATTCCTTTTATGGGAGCTGTTCTATTCACTACAGAATGTGTAGCAGCATCCCTGGCCTCCATCTACTGGAGGCCAGTGACAATGCCGTCCATTGTAACAATCAAAAATGTCTCCAGACATTGTCAAATGACTCTCCTCCCCCATGGAGAACAAGTTTTAATAGAAACATGGTGGCTGCTATATTGAAACCCCACTAAAGGTGCTTAAGAGTAGAATGCAGATTAGTGAAGAGATTACTACAATAACCCCAGGCAAGGGCTCATGGGAGTTTGGAGTGGTAGCCGAGAAGTTGGCAAGAAATAGGCAGATTCTGGAAATACTTTTAACTCCATGGGACAACCCGGAGAATACAACCAATGGATGAAATGGCTACAGGAGCCTTATCTTTCGATTTCAACTTTTCTCACCAAAACTTATAAAAAGAGAGATGCTTCAGCAAAACCTTAAGACAGAAAGCAATGAGGAGGCCTTGAACTATATGTAGCTCTTTTAAAGTCACACAACAGATGTGGATGACAATACCTTAGACAACTGTGGAAAACAGTATAGGGAAACAGTGCCAACTCCATATATTTATTCACAGATTTTATTTAACTGGTTTATTTCAAAAAGCATGTGTCTGCACCACATACAAGTTTTACAACTTTTTTTAATTTAGCCTTCCTTCTCCAGACTGGCTCTGCCCCACACCTGTTTCTAGCATCAACGTGTGAAGCTATTTCTTTCTGCGTACCCACATTTTCCTTTACACGTACTAGCGAGCCACTGAAGACATGCACCCTTGCAAGTAATTCTTGCTGACTCTGAAAAAGAACAGGCCCAAATCCTTCGACGTGAGTCCCGTGGCATTCATCTGGGTTTTTCCAGATGGTATTTCCCTCCCTCTCTCAAACTTGTTTAATGTTATGTATCAGCTACCATCAAAAATGTTCCAAACAGTCCAGTTAATTCATTTCTTTCAGGATTCCACACACACACACTCGCTCCCTCATTCCGACCATGTAAGCATTTGCTTATAGAAGCAAAAGCAGAGACTGCTCAGTAAAACACTGGTCCCTTCAGCCGAATGCAGATAAAGCCCCAACAAGCATAACCAACAATACCCTTTACACAATATTACTCAAAACCTCCAGCCCCCAACACACACAATCTATGCTCACACACAAAACAGCCATTATGAAGAAAAACCACCAACTACAGGCTGGTGCTAAGAGTCTAACTGCAGAGGAGGTTTCCTTCCAATGGGCCTTCAGCATCTGCAAAGAGGCTGATTCAGCATCAGCAGTGAGCGGGTCTGCTGTTCCCAGATTTTCTTCCCCTACTTGGACTCAGAGTCGGGCCACTAGCCCTGAAGGAAACAAACCTGGCTCCGCTTTCCACTAGTAAGAGCCAGCCTCATGCTCCCCATAAGCACAAGACTACACTACCTCCCCACTGACTCAGTTGCCCTTTTTCATTATCCTGAAATCTGGACGCCCCCTCTTTCTGTCCAGGCACTACTCCCAGTGAGGGGCAGGGCAGAAGGCTTAGACAGTGCAGAGGCGCTGCTGAACGCCTTATCTCACAACTGAGAGGGCTGGAAATAAACGTCTCTCTCCTGATGTAGCCTGACCTGCCCACCTCCCTCTGAAACACTGGAAATAAAAAGAACCAGGGGTCCAGAGCAGCCGGAGGGCAAGAGGAAGAGGAAGATGCCCAATCATTCCAACAGACA